TCGTTTTAGTCACAGTGTGAGAATATACTGCATTCATGCAGATTCTTCATTATTTATTTCTTTAAATATAATACAGGCGATAATATTTGTAACAACAATTGGGCAAGGAGACACGGACATTTATAGTAAAACAGCGCACAATGCCGCTTCGAAGCTAACAGCCTTTCTAGGCTACAGCCCCTTTGGGCTAATAAATTAAAATACAGTAAATAAAAAAAATATATGCAGAACTGAAAATAAATTAAAAAATAATCACTATAAATACAAGCAAAATTAATTACTACGGTTAAAAATTTTAATATTAGAATTAATTGTATAAACATTTTAAGGAGTCAAAAGTTTTTTATCACTATGATAATTATGAAATATAATTGAAATAAAATTCCTTTATAGAAATTGTGCTATAATACTCATCATATAAATTTTAAATATTTAACTATAATTTTAAAAAAGCAGCATAATTTAGAATTTTAAACACAACTTTCAAAAATTCGTTTTTAAATATTTAGTATTTTTTTACTTATTTACACCAATAAAAAGCATAAAAATTGCAAGAGAAATTGCTCTTGATTTAAAATTGAATTTTCTATTTAGTTCAGATTTAAATATTATTTTTCTAAAAGAAGTAGTTACAATTTCTTTATAGCACAGGAAAGCTAAAAAAGTATCCAGCCCTGAAGCATGCAATATCTTTATACTTATTTGGACGTTACTATGCTTGAATATATTTAAATTTTAAAAATCAATCTCAATTTCAAAAATAAAATAGTAGAAAAAATTGGAAATAGGCATCAACAGCTTTTTTTGAAATTATATGCTAATAGGCACCAATGTCATTTCTGCAAGTCGTTTACTCTCTGATTGATCAGGCACGCGAAACGTCTCAACCCAGAAAATTTTGGCAGGATTCTAAAGTGTGAAGCCGGAAGTCTTTAAAGAGGCGAAAGTGATGATAAAGGTGCTCGAGAAAAAAAAAGGGGGGGGGAGATTCTGAAAATATTTGCCAAAATTAGAGCAATTCCAACCTGGAAGGCCACAACCCTTCCGACGCCAATAGGAACGAGATGCCTGGAAAGTGCATTTTCAATAAACTGTGGCTTCATCAAGCTGACTACAAAGACTGGATATTGATGGATGGCAATCCTTAAATGTGGTCTTTGTCTGAAACAAATTGAAATTTCTAGAATGGGAGAGTCAGCGCTGAAAATTCACATGAAAATTAAGTTTCGTTTTATCATTTCAATTTGTTTTTACACACGGTTTTGCTTAGCTTAATTTCTGTGTTTGTTTCAATTAAGCCATAAATTAATTTTTTATCACCTTCTACGGAGTTTATTCTCTTTTGCACATACTATATGTATGGGATATCGGGATTATGAGTTTATTTCTGCAGAGGGTCTGTTATCGATTTCGCGGGAAATCTGTTGGCTCCATTTCGATTTTAGGTCGCCAAGGGCAAAATTCGGTAACGCTAGCCGAGAAAAAGTGAAGTTCGGAAATACGTTTTGAAGCTTCAATAGACAATTAAGTATTTGGTTTAAACCTATGTTGTTTGATAGTAATGCATAATTTTTGCTAATGGCGATACAATTATTAGTTGAAAAAACTAACTAATTAAAATTTTTTAATATTTTTAAAGCTGAAAACAACTAATTGAAACTAATTTTCCTGAATTAACTAGACGCAAAATTAACTTTCATGAATTACTAAAGTTATTGGGTAGAAGTTTAACTGAAAATATACATTCCGTATTATATATATATATATATATATATTATATATATACATACAGTGTACAAAGTCCGAGGTCTGGACTCGTCGGGACTTCGGCGATCCTAGATTTGAGATTTTTCCGGATATTAGATCATTTTAAATCTACTAAGATGGCACGTAGAAATTATAAAATTGAAAATATGAAATCGTGATTTATGAAATAATGAAGCATTTATGATTTAAAGGGTATCAAAATTTACAAAAGAAAAGAGCTTAATATTTATATGTTTACTTTATTAAACATTTCTTTCAATGTGAGTTGTTTGATTTGTTTTCTCTGCTAATACTTTAGACTAATACTATAGACATATAATTTCTTGTTCAGTTATTAAGTTCCATTGTTCAAGTCCTGTAATTGCTGTGTCGAGAATTCCGAATAACTTGTCAATCAAAATTTTTTCTCGTTCAGTAACCTCTCTGTTACTTTCTTCACTATCGGTAGCTGTATTTTCTGGATTTAGAACCATACTACAGATTCCGCCCTCCGTTAATTGATTGATGATTGGGCATTGTCATTGCAATGAAAAACTTCTGTTTAACTTCGCTAAATTCTGCCGCCTGGTGCGGCCATGCGAGCTCTGGAGCTGGTTCTGGCTTTATGTGAATAACAAATCAGTTATTCTTAATTCAAATAGCACTAAATATAATCGTTTGTCCTATGAGTATCATTAACAAAATCTATTTTTAGCATAAGGAAAGAAATTTCTGCTAAATCTCCCCTTGTCAACATTTTAGCGCATTAAATTTAAATCTGTAATCGTATAATACTCTGTTATTTGGCATCGCTGCATGATTCATCACTCAAGTTGTCATTCGTTGATAAACATGCGGTGATGAAAGCAAAATACAATAAATAATGATTCGCGATTTCGGCATCAAGGATATAAAATATTAGTTGGTGTAAAATTAACAAATGTTTCGGTTTGAGATTATGCCAAGCAGATACGCAGCTATGGAGTCAAGTTACTAATCACACAAATTTATGCTAAAATAATTATTTCTTCAATAATGAGATATTTTATTTAGCGCCAAACTGAGATTAAGAATCGGGATTTCCGGCATGTTTTTTTATGATGAGGAAAAAAAATCTAATGCGCATGCGTAAAGCATACCCCTTCCCTCCAAAAAAAGCCCTAAAAAGTTGGTTGGTGGTGGCTTTGAGGTCCGGATTTTAGATCATTCCAGATATTGGATGTCCGGATCTCGGACTTTATATATATATATATATATAACTTACCAGTATGGATGGATTCACTCTTTTAAAATAATTCTACTTTAATTAAACTTAGGAGATAATATAATAATCAATTAATCTATATTGTTTAGGAAATAAATTATATATATATAGTAAAAAAATGTATATTTTCACTATTCAAGTATTCACTGTGACAAGTATTCTTATCTTGTCACATGAACAGGCCTCTGTGGAAAGGGGCTTCTCTGTAAATAAAGCAATTGAATTTGAAAATTTAAGTGACTCATCATACATTTTTCAACGCACAGTATTTGATTACATAAAATTTTCTGGAGGTGTTCTTAATATCGAAATTAATAAAGAAATGAGATCAGCAGCAGCTTCTGCAAGAAGTGGAGTTTTCGTTATTTAGAAGTTCAACAAAAATCTTAAAAAAAAAATCTTTAACTAAATCTGAAAATTCAAAGAGGAAAAGAAATATTATTGAAGAAGAAATTGATTATATGAAGCAGAAGAAAAACTTTCTTCAAAGGGACATTAAAGACATTAATGAAGAAGTAGATGCTTTAGCAGATAAAGCTGAGACCATCAGGAACATTGATTTGTTTATCAAAGCAAATGAACTTAGAAGAATAGTTAAAGAAAAGGAATAGATTAAATTAGATGTTAAAATAGCTGAAAGATTTCAGATTTAAAAAAAGCACAAATGTTTTGTATCTTTTATTGTACAGTTTATTATTCTAGTATCTTTCAAAAAACCAAGGAAATAAATTGTATGTTTACAAATCAGTTATTTTAATCTGCAAAATATTCTTACATTGTGATTATAATAGTAGTTGACTATGTTTAAATAAATATCAAATAAGTTAAATAATAATCATGTAAATCTCTAAAATAGTGACTGTTATTAGTGTAAAATACACTTATACATGTTTTTCAAGAAATTATGTTCCTCATTTAATGTTATCTACTTCATAACTTGTAGGGAGTTAGTTTAATTTTCAAAATTGTTTTATGGTAAGTATTAAGTTGAATTTAATAATAGTGCATAATACACACTTCTGTTAGTTTTTTAAAGTGAAATTACAAGCATGAAGTCGGTTATATGGATAATTGCTTTATTCTATTCATTTTTTTTTTTTTTTTTTTGCTGATAGGTCCTTAATTTTTTCTTTGATTGTCCTTAAAAGTTCTTAATTTTCATGTAAGGAAATGTGTACGAACCCTGTTAACTGAATTTATTCAGCTTCCATTAGGTCCTTAATTTTGTCATTAATGGTCCTTAAAAGTCCTTAATTTCTGCGTGCAGAAATGTGTACGAACCCTGAGCATGCAACATTCTATATTATTATTTAGTATGCATTACTATTTAATAGGCAGTTGTTTAACAGTATGAATTGTAATTTATACACTATTTATTGCACAGAAGTTTTCCTTAAGTAAAAATATATAATCTAAATTGATTTTTTTAAGATGCGTTGGCAGTTAATGGTCATAAAAATTGTGAGTATATGTATTGAAATCATTATTAATGTGACAGCAGTGTTAAGACTTTGCTTCATTAATGTGACAGTGTTAAGACTTTAAAAGATGACATATTTTTAATTCTTCAGTTATCAGCACATGCAGCTAAATTTTTTTGGGAGAGTGAGCTCCAAATTATCATTGTATTTGCTTTTACAATAAAGCTCTTTAATTCACTATTACAGAGCTTCTTAAAATTTGTTCAGTCGCGACCGCTTTTTATCATTGAGATTTCTTTTGCGACCCCAGACCCTATAATATTTACGAAAATTTTGTGGGGGCATTGCACAAATAAGCATTGCACAAATCCAACACATGCATGAGTGAAACTGTCAATTTTTTCACTTGTACTGTAATATACTATTGCAGTTTTAATTTCTAATTTTAAGACATAGCACAATGTGAAAATTTTAAAATAAGTATTAGACAAAATGACAGCATCACGTGCGAAGCAAATAAAATGAACATTTATATTATAAAAAGAATGTATCGAAACGTTTTCATTTTTTCTTTGTATTGGCTTATCTTTAGCTATTTTCAGATACATTGTGTAAAAATATTTGGTAATTGTAAAATTATTATAAGTTACAGAAATATCAAAATGCTAAAATTTTTGACGACCCCCCATGGGAGTCATGGCCTGCAGTTTAAGACACTCTGCACTAGTACATTCCAGTGTTAAATGGGAATAATCACAAAATTTGTGTAATGTGATATTTGTGTAATATTTATAAATATGTTAGAGTTTAATTAGTAATGTATACAGTGTGACTCATTATGAATATTGTTAACAATTTCTGGGAGGTCACAGTAAACTGTGGATGTAGCAGCATAACTGCACTTTTATTGTAATCAACACCATCTCTTTCGTAGCAGAAGTAATATAATATTATACTTAAATCATCTGATGAAATCATTATCTTCTGTATCTGTATGCTGATGTAACACTTGCATCACCTCAGCATTTATTTCTAGAACCTGTAATTAAACAGCTTAACTAGTTACTTGTTATTTTCATTTACTGCAGGAAGCTCAAAACTGATTATGTATATTATAAAATGTTTCATCGTGAAATTTTGTAGGTTTATAATATTAAATTTGATTAATGTGATTTTTTGCTATTATAACTTTTGCTGCAATAAATAGTTGAATTACTAGTAGTTTTTAAAAATATTTTAAATACCTCCTCTGTCAGCTATTTAAATGGAATATTGCTACTTAAAAAAATTCTTAAAATTAACAGTAAAATCTCTTTCTTTGTTTGGTTTTTGTTTTGATAACAATATGTTATTTATCTTTAGCTGTGTTGTTCATCGATGATCTTAATCTATATTTTCTTTTCTTGTGCATACTGTTTTACAGCTCTGAAGATGAAAGTTCACAAAGCATTGGAACTCCCAAGTCTTTCATGTCTGCATTACCAAGAGACACTCCTAGAAGCTGAGGAGGTACAACACTGTTTGTATTGCTAGTGGATGTCAATGAATATTTCCTGTTGCTGTATTGAAATTCATGCATTAAAAACTGTTGTTTAGATCATATATTCAAACATGCAAAGCTTAATTTGTTACATAATTTCATATTACTTTACGAATGATATTTCCTTAAAGAACAGATGATTTTACAGTACTAGTGCATTATTACGAAGTTTCACACAATTCATCAAATTTTATTCCATTAATTATTTTTAATCAAAATTTAAAAACTAATATGAATTAACACTATTAAATTCTGTCCACTTTTAAATTGTAGTTATTACAAAGATACTTAATTACTCAATATAATAATAGTTACTCAATATACTCAATATATACTCAATATAATAATAATCACTCATTCATTGCTTTAAATATTTACTGTTAACCTTAAATACTCAGTTCACAGATCACACACTCAGTGGCTCTCGGCTATTTTTTCACCTCATCTCTGTTCACTCGTGGGCCCATCTGCTATTTGAGAATGCGCAAACGTGCCCTCTGGTATCGAAATGTTTATAAAACATTCAATCACTAAGCTGTCTGTGAAATTTCATAGTAGTTTACAAATTGTAACTCTAACAATTCAGTAACATAACATTTTAACCATTATACAATACGTAACACAAGAAATAATTCTCATTTAAAATTCACCTATGTGCAATGTAAAACAATTTCACTTATTTACTTAATATATAACAATTTTCATTCGGGCATAGGTAAAACACAGATTTTGGAACTACATCTTTTATATATACATGCTTTAGTTTTAAATTTTAACAACCCCAAATTTTTTTTTTTTATCGCTACCATAATGTACATCAGTTATTAAACTTACAACCCATTTGTGAGTAGGTACATTATTCTATACCAATAACACTAAATCTCCTATGTGAATCTCCTACATCTTTTTTCCTCCTAAATCTCCTATATCTTTTTTTAATCCCCATTTATTTCTTTGTTGTTATTCACTTAAGTTGTTATTTATTCATTTTTCCATTTTTTTCAAATCAGTTGCTAGATTTTTGTTATTCTTTGCCATTTCTTAAGTCGATTTTCATTTAAATTGGTTTAATCAGGCTTAGTAACTGAATTTATTGATCTATTTATCAAAAAATGCACAGGAGTTAAAACTTCCAAAATCATCTTTGTTCACTGTTAATGGACACAGAAGTCTTGAATTTTAAATCCCTTCAATCTGTAAAATTACTTTTAAGAACTCTTCGTATGTTAAATTTGCACATTGTAGCTTTACAAAGGCCTCCGAAACTGGGTGCCCCAGGTGGAATGAATTTCCATTCAGTATTCTCGGTTGATAAATAATTAGCTAGGGTTTCATTTGGGATTTTAAGTAGGTTATGAAGTCTTTATTTTCTTGTCGGCACCAGCAAAATTTGTGTCATTGTCAGAATATAATTTTGCGCATTTACTCCTACAAGATATAAATCTCTTTAATGCAGCTATGAAGGCTTCAAAAGTTAGATTCATCACCATTTCGGTATGCACTGTCTCTGACACAAAACATACAAATATACATTTTATGTAAAATTCCTTTTTGTTTACAATATCTTATAAAAAAATGGACCACAGAGTTCCACACCACTACAGTTAAAAGGATAATCTGGTAAAACACTGATTGGAGATTTCCCATTATTTATTTACATGCAACTGGTTTGTTTTTAAAACATACAATACAATCATGTACAACTTTACAACAAATAGAATGACCATTTAATGGCATTTTTTACGTTGCGTGACTCAATAATGCCATTACACCAACATGAAAAAAATTTTTGTGATAATGTTCAATAACTAATAACATAAATTTGTGAACCTTAGGTAATATTACCAGATGTTTAACAAAATAAGTAAGATTTATCCTACTTAAACAGTCTCATACTCTGAGAACTAAATCAGAATCCAGGAAGGGATTCAGATTCTTTAACTTACTTTTATATAAGACCATTCCATGGTGTAATAGTTGGTGGATGTCCTCACCAAAGCATTAATTTTGTGTTTCTCATATGAAGAACAATTCTGCTTTGGCTATTTCTTGGATGCTAATTGGTCCTGATTTTTAACTGCTTTTTCAAATTATTCACAAACCTGAAAATATAACACGCAGTACGTAAAAAAATTATATAATTATAACTAAATTTAAGTAAATTATGTTAACAAATTATTCACAGTCACATTCAACACTACTAAAGTGTCTTTAGAGTCTTTATGAGATGAATTTTTGAGTTCGGAACTCAACTCTTCACTTAATTTTTCAGGGTTTGTAAGCGGTCCTTACAAGTGCTTATAAGTCCTTATATTTGAAAATAAAGGCCCTTATAGGTGCTTACTTTTTCTTTAAAGCCCCTATTTTTTTATTTTTAGTGCTTATTTTTTGCTTTTAGTGCTTTTATTTTTTTAATGAACGCACATCCCCCCCCGTACCAAAGCCGAAACTAAATAAACAACTTTTCTTCCTTATATGGAACGTCAGATGGTGAACCATACTCCCGGAAATAGCTTTTCCCCCTTTCTCTGCATTAACGTAACCTATGGTGCGCGCGAGAGTACAGACAGGTGCACGTCATTCTATTGGTCAAAGAATTGCGAAAACCATAGAAAATTCCGGTACATTCGGTAGTCTTTTCCTCCCACCCAAATACTACACACGTTTGAATTTCTATCAAGATTTTAATAATTTACATTCTCCTTCCGCGTGGTCAGTTCATATTCGTGTTTATTATGATCGTTATGCTTACTATATTATGAGCATATGTATGAATATTTATAATAATATAGTTGCAGTAGCTGCTGAAATGTAGATAAACTTCCAAAAATGGGTTTGTTTTTACACAGATTAGCTTTCTAAGGAATAATATTCAGAATGGCCTAAATAAAAGGAAAGTAATCGATAGTCAAAATAATTTCTTTTTTTTTTTTTTTTTTTTTCCAATACATTATACAGTACGGAGGATGGGAGGTTCTCCCCTTTCTCCTCAAAATCGCTAATTATTGAAGCAGCGGACTTTTTTTTTTTTTTTTTGTCACTGTCCAATCTGAATTGGATAGGACTAAAAGTTTTGCGGTCTACCCAACCCAAGCGAAGAATGATTCTATTCCAGAAATTTAACGGTCTGTTCAAAATTAGAATCGAAAACACCCCATATTAGTAAGTTTCTTTCTTTTCCTTTATTTAGTTCTTTATTCTCCGAATACCGGCAGCTGTTGATTCCGATTCCGATTGCGTAATATCACGTATGGAAGAATTACGCCGCACGTATTGCGCAATAACGTTTGCGGTCTTTTGCAGAGATAATTAATTTTGATGTTCAGTCTGAGATTTATTTCTGAACATTTAAGTTTTACTGTTCTTTCTAAGCAGAATATTTCTCAGTTCCGTTGGTCTATTTTTATATGATGCACATATCGAAATGTCAAAATCATGTATTTAGCCGAGAAATCTAAAGAACGGCTACTATCTCCAGCTCCCTTCTCTTTTTGCAGTTACACTCGACTATACGGAATATTCGGCAATTTCCGAGTATGCGGGTTAGTTAAGCTTTTACTGTTAAAGGATGACTGAAGCAATTTTCCGTCTCCTGATTTCAGAAATGTTCCTCTTTTTTACTTAAATTACTTTGCTTGGAATGTATGTTAAGGGAAAACTGTTATGCAATGAAAATTTAGAAAATGTTCAGAATTTTGATTTAAGTTAAATTATTTAAATATTAATATGAGTGGAAAAATAAATTTCATTATTAGGTGCCAAGCGAATACAGTTAATATGGCTTATTATATTTATTTTCTATATTTTGAACTGAAATTTCAATCATTAAATCTTGTAATATAGGTTAGTTCTGCATAGTTTTTTTTTTTCCCTCACATTGAAAACTAATTCTGTAAATTTAACTGTCATTTAAAATTTTAAAAAAAGTTAATTGTTTTCCATGGTTGAGGTAATGCTCATTCTCTTAATAAATATTGCATTGCTAATATTTTAAATTGCAAGTCTAATTTTTCTTTTAAGGTTATGCAGTTGTGTATAATGTAATTAGACAAGTGCTTATTTTTTTAACTAAAATGTGGCTATGAACCCTGTTTTTGCTTTCTCAATAATCTGGCCAAGAAGACCCAAATGATCATATATTCTGGCAATCAAAGGTAAGGCACATCTCTGAGTGTATGATACACTAGTCTCTACTTAAACTCTCAAAGAAAAGCAATCCTTTATTGGTTTCCATGACGTGCCCAAGTCTTTTTGTTTCAACTGGATCAGAGAAATTGTGTTGTTCCCGATATAGAGAAATTCAGAATGATTTGCACACCATTTATGCAACTGTATGCCTACTCTTTGCAAAACTGCTAAAAGCGGCTTTTGTAACACTCTAGCTTCTTTTGACGTTGAAGCTCCATCCATGTAGAACATCATCCATCTAAAAGTTTTCACATAACACAGGTGCTGCCATTAGAAAATTACTCTCTCCATCTAACAAAGGCTGTTTTAGTGTTCTCATTGCTAAGAAGGGAGCACTGACCATACCATACATAACTGTTACCAACTTATATGTTTTGGGTGGCTCATTGGCACTAACACTCCACAGGATTCTTTGAAGGCTATGTTGACTTTCATCTATCAGTATCATCCTATGCATCTTTTTCACATCAGCCGTTAAGGCATATATGTAAATTCTAAATCCGATCATTATCAAAAATAAATCTTCTTGTATAATATCACAATATAGAGAGAGACATTTTGGATCTCTCTTGACAAGCGAGCCCACAGTGACCTGAGTTTTTTAAGAGCAATGTCCCTAGACTGATCTAAACATAGGAATCATCTTTAAGGGCCATTTTTCTCATGTATCTATCTTCCTTATTTCTCCAATGCATTCACACAAAATGCTCCTGACATATAAAATTTACTTTTGGTTAATTCTAATTCTACATTTTCAATTTTCCAAAAATGTTTTAATTGTTTATTTAAATGATTTTCCTTTATTAATCTGCAATGTATCTTAAGTCTCATTTCCTTAATCTACACTTCCACTGGCGACATAACCAAACACTGTATTTTATGAATAAATTTGCCCTATTTTTCAATAATTCATAGATTATCTCTGCAACTAACAGCATATCGATTTTTCATGGAATATCAAAACTGTAATCAGCTAATGTTACGAGGGTCAGTCAAAAAGTTAGTTGCACTGCCTAAGAAAACAAAACAGGAGCAAACTTTTACAATAACTTTATTTTTTTCTTAAAGTTCCATTCAAAATCTACTTTTCAACGTAATTACCTCCGTTATTTAAGCATTTGTCGGGGCGTGGTACAAGTTTTTCGATGCCTTCTGTAAAGAAATCCCGTCCAATGTCCGATAACCATTGTTGGGCTGCAGCTTTCACTTCGGCATCTGAATGGTGCCGTCGCTTTGAAAGTTCTTGTTTCGTGGAAGTCAGGAGGTGAAAGGTCTGGGCTATAAGGAGGGTGATTCCACACTTCCGACCTTAATGTTTTCAGAAGTTTGCACCTTTGTTTTGCTGCATGCGGTCTTGCATTGTCATACAGGAGCACAATGCCTTTCGACAGTTTACGTGGCTGTCGATTTTTGTGATTTCTGCAAACTTTTTAGTGTTTCACAATAAGAAGATACATTAATTGTGGCACACTTCGGTATGAACTCTGTATGCACCATGCCTTCTCTGTTGAAAAACAGCGTCATCATCATCTTTCCTGCAGATGGAACAGTTCGACACTTTGTTCTAGTCAAGGAACTGCAATGTTTCCACTCGAGCGAACTGCGTTTCGTTTCAGATGAGAAGTGGTAAATTCAAGTTTCATCTCCAATCGCAATTTTGTTCAAAAACTCATTTCCTTCCATTTGGTAACATTGGAGAAGTGCAAATGCACTTTCAAAACGCTTTCCTTTATGTTCCTCCGTCAATAGATGTGGCACCCATCGAGCACAAACTTTACGAAATTTAAGGTGATTGGCAATAATTTTATGCACACTTCCATGAGAAATATCCATTTCATTTGAGATTTCGTCTATCGTTATGCGTCTGTTTGCAAGAATGCATTCATTCATGCGAGCAGCGATTTCCGAATTTGTTGCAGTTGATGGTCTTCCCTCGCAGTCAGCGTCTTCAATATCTGTAAGGCCATTCTCAAACATGTTGCACCATTTCGCGATAGCTTGACGTGATATTGCATTTTCACCATACACTTCATGCAACTGCCCATAAATTGTAGTGTAGTTGCACTATTTTGCCTGCAAAAAACAAATCACTGCATGCATTTCCAATTTGGACGCTATTTGCAGCTGTCGAGACATGTTTGCGACTGATTATTCGAAAAACTAAACTCGTCTCCTGGTACTAAAATAACAACTCGAAAACTAGAACACGGTTCACCCGCTGGCCACATTAGCGATCGCCTTAATTGCATCCTCAAATCCAAGTTGCAATTTCTTACAGATACATTTCAATCCTCCCTACACGATACGCTCCTCACTCAATAAAGCCAGACAACTTAGTTTTTTTATGCAGCAAATGGTAGCCAAATTTCGACCTTTGGTAACAAGCGCCTTACCCTTGACGTCTTTTCATTTGGTATTTCGTAGCGGCCGATATGAAACAACGAATCATCGAAATGGATTTTATAAAGCATTTTGGCTGATTGATGCTCGAAACTTACCTAGTCAGCAAAAAGACCCAGTTGACATATGGTGATAGAGTTTCTGATTGTAGCCAAATACCATCTAAATTAGCTATCCTTCTTCAGGATTCCAAATTCTCACAGACTCTCTCTGTATCCGCAGCTCACCAACCCTTCGCAACCCAATCAAGACTTTCAAAACACTGTAGATTTATTATTTTATTGAGACTAGAGTTTTGACCACCTAAGCCGCGGCGTCTGTCCGCCGATATGCTCTCAAGCCATAAGACAAGAATTCGAATTCCTCTTCTCTCAAGGTGTTATTTGGTTATCCAAGAGTCCCTTGGGCCAGTCCCTCTCCATATGGTCAACAAGGCAAATGGTGAGTAGCACCCCTGTGGTGATTACCGTCGCTCTCAGTACAATCACTCTGACAGACCGCTACCCGGTGCCTC